GGGGGGGGGCAACATGCAGGTGAAAGGCTGGAATATTATAATGAGCTAGAGCTAATGACGTCAGAAACTACCCACTCCTGAAACCTCCTGATTTATCTCCTGGATTCAGACTGAGAAAGCCCACAAAAACATGACTGAGTCTTTTTTTTTTTCACACTTTGCCTGCTGATAGGCCCTCCACAGTCCCAAATGTACACAATCAAATGATTTAAAACTTGGTTTTGCATAATATGTCCCCTTTAAATGATCAAAAAGGGAGGATCAATCCTTTGTGCTTTATGTGATTGGAACAGTTCTGAGTGTGTGAGTTTGTGTACATAATCAGATGATTAAAAACTTGGTTTTGCGTGATATGTCCCCTTTAGGGAAAGCGGCCCACCTCTGTCCGTCGGGGTCTGGGTGGCCTGGAGCTCCGGGGGGGAGCTGGGCTGCCCGGGGGGGGGCTTGGCGGAGCACTTATCCAGGTTGCAGTACTCCCAGCGGACTTTGGGATCCGTGGTGTAGCACCAGGGGGCGCGGTCCCCATCAGGGTTCCTGCACAGGTTCCTCCTCAGATCGCTGTCGGGAATGAAAGAAAATATCTCTGTGTTTTATTCCAGGAATCAAACCAGAGGGACAACAAATTATAGACGATCAGTTCTAACTGCTCATTGATAAATCCATGAATAATCTGGCTCCTAAATGCTGATCTGTGCCTCTGAATAGATGCTCCCAGAGTAAAACAGTGGCCAAAGATACTAGAGCAACCAAATATGAACAAGTCAAAGTAAAATATTACTCAGATTTGGTGGTTCAGGTGATAAATGTCAGCACTTCATGCTGACACACTTTCTCTGTGAGGAACAACGATAATTCAAACCACCAAATTCCCAATTCTGATCATTGTAACCCATCTTAAAACCGTCCATAAGACCAAAAATGTAATATTTTCTCTTAATAAAAAAAGGATTAAATGCTTTATTTCGACTCTGGGGAGGATGGTTCTCTCTTCCTGTTGGCCCTACACAATGACTTTTACTCATTAAAGTGGATCTTTAACAGGCCTATCTCCAATTAACCCTTTAATATCATACGTTTTATATATGATACATAAACGTATCACATTATGGGTAAATCGTTCTGTTAAAAAACTGCTAAAAATAATTCAATTTTGGTTTTATTTAAAAAAAGACAGAGTAAGTTTTTATCAAATATTAAATATAGATTTAACTTACTTTTTCCTTTTTTTTTTAACAGAATTTTCTGTCAATTCATTCTCGTGTCAGGCAATATAGGTTTAAAGTTCAAGGAATAAACTTCTTATTTTATGAGCAGGTTAAGGACATCAACCCTGGCTGATTGATTGAATTATTATTATTATTATTGAATGCAGCTGATTGGCTGATGGGGCTCACGCTGTGGGGTATGCTTGTGGCGTTTTGTTGTGTTTGTGTGGCGTCATGGAGCTCCACTTCTGGCATTTCTT